CCACAGGGCACCCAAACTGACTCTGTGTAGTATCCACAGGGCACCCAAACTGACTCTGTGTAGTATCCACAGGGCACCAAAACTATATTTGTGTGCTGTGAATGTACCCTTCTCAAAATTGTCTTGTATGCGAGGATAACATGGAAATACAAAAGAAATGCCGCAAATGCCATCGAGAAAAAGTGTGATTTCTTTTGTATTTTCATGTTATCCTCGCATCCAAGTTACATCAGTTTTGGTAGTTTGGACTCCCTGTGGTTGAACTGAAGACAGGGATACCAAAGTTGTTTTGATGTGCTGTTTCTTTTAGATCTTGTGCTTGTACTTACAAAAAGCTGAACCAGAACGATACAATCATTTTCTTGGAATCCATGGATTTCATCTTCTTGCTAATCAGGTAATGGGGACGTATTGTTCTACTCATCTTGTAACGTGCCTCCATTGTGTTGGGGAAGACACGCACATGACATTATTCTCACACATCTATTTATTTATAGCTGTATGACCATACTGTAACCAAGGGAACCATAGAGGCGTGTCTGTGGCTGATGGTCGGAAGACCAGTGGACTTGGATAAGGATTAGTAAGTCCAGTGCTAATCATATTGAAAATAAGACCATGGTTAGTCTTTCCTCCTAACAGTCTATTTATTCATATCCAGTGCATATTCAACTGCTTTCGACCAGAATCTTTCCAGTATCCTACGTCCACTGGGCGTGGTGCCATTGTTATCAGTACTGGAAAACACCTTGATCTCTCAGAATCTGAACCGCATGTTGATCAAACACTTGTGCCAATTGTTTCTCAAGGTAAGTAATCCTTGTTGATTAGGAATATCTTACAGAGTGATTATAACAACATGTGTTGTTGTGACCATCAGATAGATGACCTGTGCCTGAATGCTGTGGCTCATGGGCTGTTACAGACTGTCTGTAATGTTGTTTGTGGCTTGGCTCGTCTGCAGCATCAACAAAGGTATGGAGGTCTTTAATAATCATCATCATTACTACTATCATCATCATAATCTCCACCATCACCATTAAAATCAACAACATCATCAACAACATTATCATCTCCATCATCTCCATCATTGTCGTCGTGTCTTCACCATCATCAATGACAATGCCAGCAATTCAACACATGAACCCACATAGTTGTAATATTTGGATACTAACGACAATTATTTTAAATCTTTGATATTTTAATATCTCACATACGTCCTTGCTTGTTTTCAGTCAAGGCCGAACGCCTATCACAGTAGATGTCAGTTGTCTAATGGATGACTTACAGACTTTAATAAGCTGTATTGTCATCAAGGCTTGCAGGTATAACCCTCTAGTATCCTAGGCCGACCATAACCAGACATATACGGTAGTACTGCATAATAGTGCGAAAAATCGATGGATGGACGGATGGAGGGAGAGATGAAAGTTTCTTTCTTCCACTTTCTTGGGAGAGAGGGGATGGGAGAAGGAGATAAGGGGAGGACGATGGGTACCTTTGGAGTACTCACCATGTAATCATCATAGGAATGAGATATTCCATTACAGAAACCTTTATGTCTGGGTCCATAGATTAGGTCTACTGCATTGCTTCTTAGGATTAAGAGCGAGAGATCCTCTCAGTGGCATCAAGAGTATAGTTAAATGAAATGAAATCAAGACTATGTTTAACGAGGGGGACACTTGGCAGTACAAAAAAAAAACCCTGTTTAACTGTAGTCCTTCCATAAGTCCTCCATCATAGGACTACCTCGTGATTGTTTTTTTTTTCCTCGTTGCTGTGCACAGCACATGTGGAAGCATGTATTTCCAGATGTTTGAAGATCTTCTTGTTGTACTCGAGAACCTTGAGGAGCTGGATCACAGGAAAAGAGGTGAATGAAAATATTGATGTATTTGTCAAATTAATAGTCAGTTCACTCTTCCGCATGTTCATTTTTTAAATTAGTTCTCAGCAGATTACAAAGAGGATACAATACGATTTTCCGTTTTTGTACTTTTCAGAGCACGGTCTGTCTATATTCTTTATCGCTCGTTATCTACGTTACTTCGCTATTCAAGTAGCTCTATACTTCTTCCAAGAAATTTGTAAAGACGAGATTCCTATTAACGGAAGGAAACGTGGTGGTATAAGGTAATGTAAACGAGATTCCTATTGGTAGATAAAAATGACGTGATGTAACGGAGATTGTTATTGGTGCATGGAAAGAAGCAAGGTTGTATGGCTCCTGGATCCCTGTTGGTGAATTAAAGCCAAGCAGAAAATGGTGGTTTAAAAACTCAACTTATTCCGTTACTTAACAGTTAACCGTTTTTAGTTTTTACCGTACATTCACTAGATCAACATTTTTTTAGATTGTTTCGTGGTTCAGAAAAGTCCTCCGACCTCAATCCATTCAAACCAGTCTCTTCTTGGATTCCACTCTCTCCCGACCATAATCTACCGTGCTCGGACCTAGGCTTCCTTAAGACCACACCAACCAGTGCAAACTTTAATGAGCAAACACAGAGATTCCAATCAGTAATTCAAATGGCTGTCAACTGTGTTACATACTCCAGAACAGTGTTTCTAAATGACGCCCTCGGACCCTTACAAGTGTATACCGCTGACTTACAGGTCCATGAGGCTTTGCGGCCTGGTATTCTTAAGGGTGCTACTAATGGAGTCAACATGGATAAGGAGTTTGCGCAGTTCATATTCAGTCTGCTGTTTGAGTTTCTGGACACATGTCTCGTAAGTAGATCATCCCAACCCCCTCCCCTCCCTCCCTTGTTTTGGACTTATGACGTCATAACTGCTTTGTTTGCGTGCCGTTAATTCATTTAATAGCTTCATCAGCATGATTGTTAAGTATTTAGTCTTATTCCTTCTGTGACGGCAGCATAAGAATTTCTTCATCATTCGCCATCGTGCATAATGATTTYATGATCATAATGTTACATTTCCTGTCATTCTGTCTCCGAAATGGAAACCGAAGGGCCCCGTTTTTATCCCTATAATTAATAACCAATAATGGTAGCTGATGAAAGTGTTTATTGTCAGGATAATAAAGGAACCATGCCAAGTAAAGTGATGTTCATGTCTAAAGAAGTCATCAAATCCCAGCTTGGCAAGCTGCTTGTTTATCTTCTCAGCCCTTCACAGTCTCTCGACCTGTCATGTTTCGTCCTACAAATCAGCGATCATGTACGAGCCAAGAAGCTGGTCCACGCTGTATTGACTAGTAGTGGAGGGGGAAAGGTACGGCACCACTCACGTGATCTCACTACAGTCACGTGGGTATTGCATACTCACGTGATCTCACTACGATTGCGTGGGTATCGTATACTCGCGTAATTAAGAAACTTGGTAATATTTGATTTGATCAGGTATATCCAAACGTGAAAACGATTCGAGAAAGTGGTCTTCTGTGCCGTCAGAAGTGACAATAGTTAAAAATGAAACGATAGGTTTTTTAATGTACAGTAATATAAATGAACTGCAACCTAATTGGTTGCTTGTAGAATGAGGTCATTAAATCATGTGATTTAAATAACCAATCCTTCATGTTGTTTTAGCTACGAGACAAGATACAAGCATACCTACCAAAGCTACTAAGCATGGAAAGGCTATCGGAAGACCAAGCGTCGAACGCCTTGAGTTTCAAATCGTTACTTGAAGCATGTGGTTTACGATTTGCTGCGTTGAATGAGTCGTCGAGAACTGACGTTGAGGTAGGCTACCTTGATATAATGCTATGCGACACATTTCTCAACATCTTTTCCTTTAACTGCAGGTTTACAAAAGAATCTCTTGAGAAACTCTTCGTAGTTTGTATTTGGAACACAGAAACTTGAATTTATCATTCAATTTGCCCTTATTGATGTGATGGTACGATTATTGTTCATATTAGCGCGGGTACGTCATGTAACATCGATTGGCTGGTGACAAAAAGAAACTTATATAAAGCTTCTTATGAAAATAGTTGTCATATTAACATCACAATGTTTTTGTTAGTTAACACGGAGTGAATATTACCCTTTTCTAGACTCAGAGCTGGGACCACGCAGAAACAACGAATATCATGGAATGGCAGAAGAAAAGACAAGAAGCCTTTGCATTGTTAGTAACCTTATCACGTGACCATTTTGACCTTCATGTTAGATACCACGCATGCGTAGTTCTTTTTGTCGCTAAAACATTTGACTAAATTGATAAATATTTATGTCTTGGATTATGTCAACCAAAAGCTGAATTTGACGTCATCAATAGTATGGCGGGAATAGACCACGTGACCTATACTCAATTCTATCATGTTTGTTAACTATAGTATTTCCAAGAGGATAGTGGCGCTCAGCTCCAAAGTTTCTGAATCAGCCAGGATCGTCACACGCGTCGCAGTTGAGATACAAGACACTCAGAGACAAACCTTGCTGAAGCACAACAGAGATGGTCTGTCAGCTGAGGTACAGATCAGAAAGAAATGGCGTCAAGTGATTGAGAGAGTCATCCATGAAAGGTTTGTTTCGTTGTCCATTAACAAAAGATTAAATGACACAATCTGGGATGTAGGATTATTTCCCTCAATGTCCACGTTGTCGGTTAAGGTCTTATTATAAGAAGTATTGTTAGTGAGTACGGTTTTTGTTTGGTGAACAATGAGTTCTGCAGAATTTGTCCGTGTAAAATGGAGGTATCATTGACGGTAGATCATCCTTCGTACTTTGCGCGCTGCTAACTCAAAATGATGGCGCTCTAGACGTAGCATTGTATCATGAGTCCAAGTCGAGTTACGAGGTTTAAATTTGTATTCATAGCTTTTGTTTGCTTACTAGGTCTGTATGGTATGATCGAGAGTATTTCCCAGTTTCATGGAGACTGGATCCCACTGAAGGACCATTACGTGTTCGTTGTCGAATGCAAAGGTGCCATCTTGACGTGCCTCAGAAATACGTCATGAAAGGTCATCAAAAACATGGTGCGTAAATATTGCCTCTTCTAGGAAATAAAATGTCCTTTTCTGACACCCAAGGCATCGAGAGAAAAAAAAACTTGCTTGTTTCCCATTATTGTGATTCAGCTACTGCGCAAAGTGGATCACCGCTGGCCTATCTGTTCGAAGACTCTACCAGTTGTCACAAGAAAAACGTCTACTATATCTTTGACACACCTGATACTATACGGTAAATTAACTTGTTCACTGATAAAATGTCCTTAAGTGTTTTTAGAATTTTAAAATTGTTTATTTATTGCTTTAGAACTTTATTGCTCCCTAACTATGACTTCCACAGCTGACCTTACGCCCCCTAACCACAACGCCCCCATCCATAAAGGCCGCAGCCATGATGTCCCTTAACCAAGAAGACTCCAGGACCTACCTGAGCCCCACAGTTATATGTTTAGGTTTTCTTTCAGGTTTCTTTACCACTGCATGCATATCTTACTGGACATCAAGACTACAGGTGTCATTCTCATTGGTTAGTATGAAGTGTTATCCATTCTATTAACACATGTTAAGTTATTTTTCTTCCTCCTCCTTCTATGAGTTATTTGTATGTCACGTGACTCCTTATGTCAATCAACTGTTGTTCCTTTAAGGTGAAATTCACATGTACTTCATTGGAGAAGAAGCAACCACAACTGATACTGACGTAACACAGGTAACCCACACCTATGTATTCAACTTGACAGTCATGTTGGATGGCAGATTACTACTTGTCTATGTGTTCTATCTGACAGTCATGTCTATCTGATAGTCATGTTAGATGGTAGACTACTAGTTGTCTATGGCTATTGCCACCAACTACTATACATATTTAACTTTGGCCTTTCATTTTCTAAATAGAGACATTTTTCTTGAGTTATTTTTCTTTGTTCCCCATCGAGCATTTTATCACGAGTCCTGACCAAGATCATGGACGATGGCAATGAATTTGTACCAAATACTTTCTTTATTATTCTTGTCGGTTTCCCTCAGATTTTGCTAGGAAATAAAGATGCAATATCAATCTCTTGGGCGATCAATGAAATCCAGGAAATCCGAACAAGAAGATATTGTTTGAAGGTACCATTTTATTGGTTGTTGGATGCTGGCTGAGTGGTATTTCGTTATTCACTTGACTGTCGTTTGTATTATAGGATATTGGCATGGAAATATTCCTTTCTAATGGTAGAACGTACTTGTTGGCCTTTGATTCAGAGAAAGTGAGTATTATCCACAAGACCAGTTTGTCTAAGTGTCCCTAGTATTTAGACACCCATTCATTTAGGCACCCATCAGACTACATCATCGTGTTGTTTGGTGCCCCYGATTGTCCAGCATTCAAATTGCTCACTGTCCCTATTTTTAAATGTGCCTTTTGTCYAGGTTTCCAATACCCAATGTTCCTATCGCCCAGGACACCTCATATGCAATGTTCCCTTTGTCCAGGTTTCCAATACCCAATGTTCGTATTGTCCAGGAAACCGTATACCCAATGTCCCCTTTGTCCAGGTTTCCAATACCCAATGTTCCTATTGTCCAGAATAACTTATACCCAATGTCCCCTTTGTCCAGGTTTCCAATACTCAATGCTTCTATTGACCAGGATACCTTATA